TATGCTATTATATATTATATACATATATGGAAAATACGTTGGTATTTGAGCAAATTTAGTTAAATATTTTCTGTGCTATTCCGGCAAAACTTACATTTTATAAATATTTAGATACTGAATTACGAAAACTATAAAGTAATACAAAGTTCATTTAATTTTTGTTTATTTAATTGCAGTGCAGCAAATGAAGTGTCGGTGTTTTGTATGCAATGAAACAGGTAGATTTATGGCATAGGCAGAAAATTCTCCTAAATGAGCAGCAAATGCAGCAAACATGCAGAAGCAACAACTGCAGCAGCAGAGTCACTGCAGTAGCAGCAGCAGCGGCAGCATCAGCAGAGTCCCATCATCGAAGTATGAACACAAATATGGATAATGTATGAACCATCCATCCTGTTAAAAGCTAACAGCAAAGTGCCCATCGCGCGTGAGGCATGTTGACGTCGATGAGCCGCCTCGGAGCAGTTCGACCAAGGACAAGTGCGATATGAATGCGAGTGCAATATGCAAGGCTTCAGTGCAAGGAGCGGCCTCTTGTGATTGCAGTGCCGAGCAGAAGCAGACAAATGCAGTATCAATAAGAACAACAACAACAACAACAACGACAACGACAACAACGACAAACCCATCAGTGAAACTTGATTGGGTCTCAGCCATTGCCGTGTGGGCGGATATTGTGAAATTGGCACTGGCCGAGCGCGAAAACAGTTTTGCCGTTGGCGAGTTATCCTTATGCCGTGCACTTGGATCGCGGCCAGGCAGCTCTCGTGTCATGTGCATAAATTAATATAAATCAAATTCATGCGACTTTCACATCAGTTTCATTTAATTTAATTGACCAGAGTGTGGTCAATAAAAATAAAATTAATAGAGTGCAAATAATTAAAGCTCTTGTTCCATTTTCATTGATATGCATATAATAAATAAGAAATTCATTTTCATTTGCTGGCTGTGTGGCAAATGCCAATTAATTCACTTAAATTTTGATAGTGCACATATTTATTGAGTGTGATATAAATATTGATGAGTAATCAACTGAATGAATCCATGAAAATATAAATAAATAAATGTAATAACAAAAGTAGGTAAATAATATATACAAAATCGTTCAGTTGACCATAATATACACATGTTTTATCATATGTATGTATATTTCGAAATTTGTATAACAAATGTTTAAAAATTTAAGATTTTAAGCACACCGTGTAAAATTTAAAATGTTTATTTCGATAAGCACTAAAGTGAAATACTGAGACTCTTGAAAATTCGAATCGCCTTTCTCCTTTTATTAACAAGCTCCGACAAGTGCAAAGCGTTCACAGCACACCCAGTTTGTTGAAAGATATTTAGGAAGGTAACAAACAATTAAGCATTTATTTCACATTATAGCGGAATTCGAACGGGAACTGTTTAGCTAGCCTCTTCCGAAATTGTTTTGTAAGTGTTACTTTCTTGACAAAATCCTTTTTAGAGCAGCAATTGAGTGGCACAAAATACTTATACGGTACGAACTGGGTTTCTGCCATGTACTTCTTAGCATCGTCGTGCAGCAAATTAAGGAACTTTAGGAACATCTTATAGCTGAGTTTTGAGAATCGACAGCAATCGGGGGAGTGATGGTGGGGAATGCCTGGACAGAAGCCCCATTTCCGATCGAAGTCTTTTATCAGCATGATACGCATCATCAAGGGGTCATCGGCAAGCTCCGGATCTTTCGTCTTGGCGAGCATTGCATGACTAGCACAAAGGCCTCTCCATAACAGGGCTCGAATCATGTGGCTTTCGCCCACCTTTCGGATTATCTCATTCTCCGGCTTGTGGAGAATGGAGCTGTGCAGCCAAGGCGATAACATGCAATAACGCACACTGGCCATGACCTGCTCCATATATTGTTGTCGCTCCTCCCAGTTGTGCCTTAGCCAGTACACGGCTGCAAAGAACACTTCGTCCTCACTGTTCACGCATAGCGAGTCCATTTTGAGCAAATATGCTACCTCGCCCGCTTCCATAGCGAGGAACTCCTCTGACGCGACCAGCGGCAAGAACAACTTTTGTATTCGATTCATAAATATGGCCATCAAATCGCTGCAGCCCAGACGATGACATATCTGGTATGCTCTGAATGCTTCCTGTTCCCAGACGCCACCCTCGCCACCATTATGAATCGAAAGTGAGTTCCAGTACAGCTCCAACATGTAGCGCACATTCAGATACTTGGCCATGTGGTACATCTCAACAAAGTCGTGGCCGAGTATCAACGTTGGGCTTTTGCTGACCATCCAATTGTACATGTGGGCCAACAGAATCATGGAGACCTTGTTAGTGGGAAATTCCAGGGACCAACTCTTGTAATCCTCAAAGCCTTTCAAGTAGTGGAAAAACACATACCGATCCACATGCATGAAAAGCTTGCCAACTTTCACTTGCAAGGTGCTAAACCAGTAGTTGCGGGATGAAATCGCGTACACCTCTGGACCATCTATAATAAATGTGTCGTATGATATGTATATGATATATATAGATAACACTCATATTTAGTCTACCAAGCTCTCGATCCTCTACATTGCACAAGTACTGAGCTACAGATATACTCGATTCTACTCGCTGTTGGTGAGCGCAATCGTTGAGCTCTACGTTCGTTATGTCCCCCATCGCGTCAACGGCTTTAGCGACCTCCACCATCTCCTGCTGCAGCGGCTCCAGCAGCCCGGCCTTGGCATGCTCTTGGGCGGCACTAGAGTACAGACTTGACCAAACGATCACTGGAACACTTGGAAAGAATTTGTGTGGATCGGCAGAGTTTAAATAAAGCTCATGCAGGTCTGGAGTGCTCGGAGGGGATTCGTCGTCTGAGTAGTAGGGTTCTCTTGGCTCTGGCAGACATATGCCAAATGATTCTGGTGTCCTATTCAAATGTGGTTCCTCGATCAGACTCCTTTTCCAATCAGCGACCAGCTTCAAATACTTTTTATTAAGCTCTTCGCTCAATGTTGACGAGCGAGTTCGCAGAGTCTCATCGCCTTTGACAATTGCATATCTCCTGATTGTTACCATTTGCAATCTACGATGACCAGATCTCCTATAAAGCCTATAGCCACTAAAGCCATGTCTGCTCGGCACTTTGAATGCTGTTCTAGACTTGTTTGCCATCTCCGCTAGATATCAAATTCTAGTGGTTTTCGGCTAACTGAATTTCCGATATGATTTTAGTCTCATTTATAAGATTACAAATCGACGCCAACTGAACTTTAAATATATATATATGTACATCGATTTACGCATCTATGTGATAGACAAGAAGCGATCGACCTAAATAAATTGGAAAGAGGAGAGAGTGTGCTCGATTCTCATAAATTGAGTCATAGACATAGCCCCCCTTGAAATTCCCCCATCAATTGTTTGCCTAAAGCTAAGATAAATTTACAAATTATTCCGAGAGCACACAAATGCCACAGACATGGAAATTCCCAAGCTGACTGAGATGTAAGGCTATACAAGTATATATACAAATTAAATTTAGCTAAAATGCAGACATGTGTATGTTTATACATATGTATATGTAAATATGTTTTGCTCATTAGGCACATGCGTTGCTTTGCGGCAATCTAAGTAACGATTAGAAAGCCAACCAAACGGATGGCCCATTCATTAGTTATGCATCTTGTACGTCCTTGTGTCCTAATTCGCAGGAGCAAATGTGCATTTGGTATTCGTTGAATGTTGGGCGGGAATTCTAGATTTGCAAAATGCTAACTGCCCAACAATGGAATGGAGCTAACTGCCACTTAGCTGCTGGTATGCCGGAGTAGCAGCACCTGCAAGACTTGCAGTCCAGATTGTGTTTGTCTGTATGTCGCTGTGATAATAGCTGTCAACAGAGTGTCCTGCTACGCTGGCTGACAGTCCAGACAGTCGGATCAGGTAACGGGAATGGCTGTGCAGCTGGAAAATACCGCCCATGAGTCAGGCTTACGCTTAGATATGTGACAGTAGCTACATACTATTCACGCTGCAAAAACAATTTACTTCTGATACCCTAAGACTATAGAAAATGGGTCTATTGAATTTATTGATATATATGCAGCAGAGATGTAGGGGATATAGTTCATCAGGAGAAATAGTTCGAGTCAGCTTAGAGCACAACCAACTCAGAGGCCACTTCAATTGTTCAACTTTTTTATAGCTTTACAATCAACTAAGTTCAATATATAATAACTACAAAATTATATGAAACGATGGTGTATTCCACTTCCAGGATGTCTGCCTCGCCATAATCGCTCTCTCAAAGTCAGCCACTCCCACCTGCAGCACTCTGCCTTCTTTTTACGGTAACATCCCTATCTCTGTAAATGAGCTTTGTCTGGCAGAGAAGATAAATAGCATTGACTGTTTTGTATCCATACCTGTCTGGTCGCTTTCCGGTTTGAAATATGATACAAAATACTTTAAAATGTGATTGTCTGTCAATTGCTCCGCCCCAGACTTTGTAGCAGAAACAAAAAGCAAAAAAAGAAATGGTAGTAAATTGACGATGATACATTATACAGCCAGTCTGAGCCTTAACCTTAAGTGTATGAAACAAAAAACGAAATTACATATATTTTCTTTTCTTTTAACAGGTTTAAGATATGACTGAAAAATTGATGTATGACAAAAAGGTAAAATAAAACGAAATATATTAAATATATTATGTACAAATCGAAAGGGTGGTACGAATGAAAATAAAATTATATTCAGTATACGTAATAAATTATGAATTCTGATTGAAGTCAACCTAAGCAATATAGCGGCTCTTTAATCATTTATTACAGACCATTATACAAATGATTTAAATCATATATTTATTTATTTACTTAATATTACAGACCTTTATACAAATGATTTAAATCATATATTTATATTATTTACTTATTTACTTATTCTTTATATTTAGAAGTAAACTTACTTGAGCTTACATAAAAAGGCTTCTAATATTCCCGATGCAGTTTAAATTGATTTTCAGCATTTCACAGATGAACTGCTCAGCGCATATGAGTTATGATTCTGTGCGGATCTATTTGCCAAACGTAGCAATATTTTCGCAGCGTCATATATCATTTTTATGTGTCTGCAGTAACGGTGAAATGTTTATTTAATTGCGAGCAAACGGAAGAAAAATCATAAAATCTAAAAAAAATGTGCCAAAACTATAAAAAAGGTAAAGAAAATAGTTTTAGAAAAGGCTGCAGAAAAACAAAAATCAGGTAAAATATGATTTGTGACTTGCAATTTTTACTGCATGATAAATTTGGCGGAAAAATATATGTACTAAATACTGAATGGAATTTTAGTAAGAAGAATTTTAAATTTATAAATATCGACAGACATTTTACATCTAGGCATCAATAAAAATTCATGCAATCTACGTCGGAATTGAAGTAAATTACATAATTAATTTATAGAAATTACTTATCAAGTATTATTATGCAACTTCCATCGATGCACAAGAGAGTCATGCAAAGTTCAATTAACATAGATTAAAGACTTCATTGTCTTTTGCCTGTAAGCCGATGTATCGTAGGGTCAGCATAGTCAAACCAATAAATAATATAGAGATAATTATGATTGCCCCATATGCTGGCTCTAGCAGTATCTGAGCTTAACTAGCGAGCCATTCATGCCTTTCCGTGCATAATTTGTGTGTCAAACTTTGTCCTGCGAGTTGTTTGCAGATTGCTTGGCTTTTCCTGCTGGCGCTCCTGAGAGGACCTGTACAAGCAGCACCTGATAAATATTCAGATTTGCATGCTAATGAATGGCGCGAATCCGCAAGGTTTTCCGCTAAGGTTTGAATTTATTCCATTGCATCAACAATCAGATCCGAAGGGGAAAAATGTATAAAGGCATGCGAAGCTCGTATGATAATTATTTTGCTTAATTTTATATAAATTTAAATGTTTAAGTCAAGAACTGAAACTTTTATAGCAATTACAGAGAAAATATCTCTCTCTTAGCATTTTGAAAGTCGAAAGGAAAACGCCAAATTTCTTTTAGTTAGTTTTTCAATTTTGGCGAAAACTTAGTTCGTGGCTCGTCTCTTATTCCTTAACTGGAACCATTTTGGCGACGATTGCGTTAATTTACTCCCATCACGTAGACATTTAACATAAATCAGCCTTTGCGCTGCCAGCGCAATGACGTCAGTTGCTTTGGGGCTTAACTTTGTTCAACTTTCGTATATGCTTGAAATGAAGTTTGGGAACTGCCGGTGCAAATTGCAGAGCGATTACCATGGCAGAATAGACTTGGCATTTGTCTTTTAGATTATTTTTGCACATCAAGTTGAAGTCAACTTTAAAGGCACAGCGACTTAAATTAGATTATATTTCAAGGAGCCGCAGAGCTAGTTGGGACTGTAAAGGGTAATTTATTTAAATATTCTGTTCATTTCAAGGCTGCAATCAATGCAAGGGAATATCTACGCTCGATTAGCAGCGTATTTAATTGAATCCTCTGTGAATAGCGATGAAAGGAAAATCGAAAAGAAAAATCTACAAAAATGGAGCAAGGCAATCAGAACAAAGAGCTGAGTTTAATTAGGGAATAATCGAATAGCGAATCAACGAGTCAAATTAATTAATCATTGTCCATTTAATCAGCCGAGCCACATTTTAATTGAACGCCATTGAAGGAATTCAAGCATCATGCTGGTGCACCTTTGAGAAATGAATGTGCACATCTTTAGGTTTTCCTTGTCGTTTTCCTTGTCTTTTTCCTTTTTGCTGCCAGCTGTAATGAAAACATAACAGAAGGAGAAACTATTCGCATGGAAATGGAAAACGCTGGCAACTGATTGATGTTCGATTTATTATTTTGCATTGGTTCGCTGGCATTTCTGGTTCGATTAACACATGAATGCATATGTGATACAAAGCAGATTTAATTTGGTAATGTTTTCAAAACAGACCATAATGAAAGCTGTAATAAAAATGTGTTCTTATCGCCGTAACAGTCGACAAAGGCTTAACGCATCCAAAATTACACAAACAGCATAAAAAATTGCATTTTGAGCAATTTTAATTAAAGCCAGACACTGGCAATTCACACTGCGGGAAAACATTTCTCATATGCCACACAAAATTCATTTATGGTGTTCGTTTAGGTCGAAACTTTATTGTTGCGATCCAAATTGCAGTTTAGTCGGAATTTGTAATTATTTCCCTTTCGACTTGCACTTCCTGGCTCTTATGGCTCTTTTAGTGGTTTATTTCACTAAATGGCATTTATATACTTGTCCGATATAAAAGGCTCTCTATACTGTTGCAAAGGTGACCAAGTCCCTACATTATTTATTTCCTCCCGAATACTTATAAGCACACCTCTCACCCTAGACTATGTAGAGTCTTAAGAATTTCCCCACTGAATTGGGTGAATATTCTTATATTGGTGTTCAATACTTTCAATGTTCTTTGAATAGAATAACTCTAGTATTGGAACGATACTATTTTTGTTTACTCGCAAAATGTATACATATGCAACAAAACGAATCAACATATTTCACTATTTGAAAATTTTCCGGCAACCTATTAATTAAAACATATTTAGTTAACACATAAATTTTTGTATTGCAGCTATCAAATGAGTTGCACGCATTCTTTTTAATTGCTTTATAAGCTCTGTCAGAGAATTTTATACCCAAATTTGCTGATTTCTTCAGGTACCCAAGACATACACCAGAATATAAATTGAAATTGGAATAAACGAATTTATTGCTTCTATTTCTTCCAATTATTTTCTCTAAGTATTTTCTCTAAGTATTTCCTCTTTGATGCTTAGCTGAACGGACATTGAATAGTTGCCCACACTTCACTTCGCTTAACTTTACTGCACTGTACGAATGACTCCCACCAGGCCTGGGCAACTGAAGAAATGCTGCCGCTGCAGCCCTATATATAGGGGGGCTTTCACTCAAACACAAAGCCGACTTCAAATGTTGAGCCCGGTGCCAGGTCGGGTTCGTGGCAGCCGAGCCTTAAGTGACCAATGGGAACACTCTCTCCGGCTGCTAGCAGTTCGTTTTACTTAAATATAAATACGAAACGAATACAGCTGCACACTTCTGTAACAGAAGTGTGCTGGCAGCAGCATAGACTGTTCTCATTGATCACTTAAAGCTGATCTCTATGATCTGTTCGTATGTCTGTCTGCATATCTGACTCTCTGCCTGTGTCCCTGTCCATCTCACAGTCTGGCTCTCCGTCTGTTTCTCTTTCTCTCAATGGATTCCATTGCTTCTCTTCATCCACTGAC